ATAATAATGGCCTCCAAGCCTCTCTAGATTATTTTTATCTGTATCTTGATCTACTTCTTTATTTTCCTAATTTATCAACAATAATGAGAGAATATGGCTTTTGATTACATGCATTTTTCTCATTTCTGAAATTCTTTCAAAATACTCTTAAATATAATTCTCCCTTACCTTCATAATTTTGATGAACTTGATAAAATATCTCTCCCTCTCTCTGGGGTCCTCCTGTTTCAGTATCAGAGACCTACACCAGTATGACATCTTGTTGAAATGTTCTGTGAACTCCGTAAGATTGGGACAACTTTCCTCAGACTGCTCTCTGGACCATCTTAACATCTCTGGGATCTGAAGAGAGGGGGGTAACAGAATAATAATAATTCTTTTTAAAGTTGCACTTCACATGTGCCTTACATAAAACCATACAGAGATAAAGAACTTCAGATCCGAATAAAAAGTTGATGTTATCATAATAGCACATTTTACATCCTATAAAAATGTTTCACAAATAAAAACATTTCAGTCCCAGATAGAGAACACTATAGAACTCTATAACACAAAGTCATCTGGGTTGGTTAGCACTACCATATAGCCTGTTCTTAGGCTTCTTCTGGATAACACTGCACAGTCAGGTTAAAATTCTTCTTGCGCATTTAATAAAATAGAATCCTTTACTGTATTTAATCACTGCTATGTCTTCACCCCCCTCTCCCATCTGCACCCCTAGCCACTGCCTCCCAAAAGGTACCAGTACCCCTACCTCTATCCTCTGGAAGAGTTCTGCATCCATCAGTGTCATCTGCTCTGCTATGTCTTGTGACTTGAACAGGGTCAGGTGCATGGGTCTGAAGAAATTACATAAATCACTGGGTAAAAAATATCTATAATAAAAAAGAGCCTTTTCCTCTTAAGGGAAGTAGTAACTTTATCAATACAAAACACCAAAAATGTTTTCAGGAAGTTTACACCCTATGCCTATAATATGTGACTTAAAATCTCACAATCTTGATGGAGGAAATCTTATGACAAATTTGATGAAAATCATAATTGCTCTTTGGCGTGTTACTGTGAGCAAGGAATATACTGAAACATTTCAATATTTTGTTTCAGGTTCGAATAATGTTTATTGTAATTATATTCCTGAACATTTAATACACTTCTCAAAGGCAATATTAAATCAGATAAAATCCAAGTTAATTTTTTACTCGATAATGTAGATATTACCTTGAAGTTAGACTATGCGACGTCAGTGATGACATGTGATGTGTTATCTGATGCAGTTTTCTGGTCTCCACCTTCTCAAGAGCCTTCTTCCTCAGAATACGTGCCAGCATGAGTTCCCCGTCACACAGGAGCTGACAGACCTGGTCCAGCAGTGTCTGGATGCACTGCTCATTTAGCTCACTACCACTGGAAGTCAAATTAGTTTTAAAATAATGTCCCCAAACAGAACTCTGACACCTATTCTGTGGATATTGATATCAAAACTTTCTCTTGCAAAGGTGAAGAAAAGAAGCTATTTAAAGAAACAAAACAGACCTTTTCATTAGAATTAAGCAGAGATTTCATATATCTACTGTTGGGAACTTTTAGGACGTGATATTTTATAATGCTAGATAACATAAGTTGTATATTTTCGTCACATTCATAACTGAATACAAACTCACCATAACTCATCTACTACTCTGACTAGAAGTGAAAACGCGTTCCTTGAAAGACGTTTCTTTCCTGTATCTGACATATTGGCAAACTTCTGGTATCTATAGAGCAGCTTGTTGATGAGATCATCAGGAGAGATAAAAGTTCTGTAGGTGGTAAGGAATGCTTCTTGATACATAAAATCTGTAAAATGAAGCAGACGTCCATTTGTAACCACATTAGCAACTTCTTGTCTGTGACTCTTGATTCACTAGATATGGCAGTTTTCAGAAAACAAGCCTTTGCCTACTATTTGTTTTTCCTACTACTTATTTTGCTTCTGTTATGTTTTACCAAAATGAAAATAAAGATTCTTATTCTACAATAATTTCTTTTCAAAAATATGCCTTTTCTTTTCTGTTTGAAAAAATCTAAATTAGGATTCAAATATAGGCATTATTACTAAGATAATAAAGTAGAAATCAAAAGCCAAAACATTAAATGCTTTAAACCAGCTTGCAGCAATTTCTTTTAATAACACTGAGGCGTGCAGGTTTAAGCACATTTCAAAATTCAGCAAGTCTTGTTTGGATCTATGTCAAATTCAATCCAAGTCTCTGACTTTTAACAAATCATCTTTAGAATCAATAGTTTCTGTATTGTTCTCATCTGTGAAATAGGCTAGAGAGTGTGCTATCTTGGAAATGACAAAATACAGATAAATGTGAATCTTTCTGAGAAAAAAATCAAAATAGGGTAAAAGATTATTTTATGGTAATTAGTTCTTTGTATGCCCCTAGAACAGAAAATTTAGGTAACGTGAATAAAAACAATCGAATCAAAGGTGTGATTTATTAGTAAACACATTTAATTTTAAATTGATGGGATAAACATTGAGGGAAATTATCAATGGTTGACAGTTGTGGACAATTATGTCAATTAATAGGGAATTATCATTGCCATTATTTTTTGAGACATGATAGAGTGTCTCTCACAGAAACATTTTATTTAAGGTTGTATGAACAGAAAGATCAATGATCCATCATGCTTGGTAATAATATAAGTAAAACACATACAGCAGAACTTCCACAATCACCCTGTTTTTCAGAGCCTAACTGAGACCATGTTATTGACAAAAATGTATTCAGGATCTTCTCATTATATTTCTAATAGAGAAAAGTTCTCTGTTAGGCTTCAGAACTCAGGGTGATTGCAATGTACTCAATCAAAATAATACCACCATTATGTCAAACATTCAGACAGTTCATTTTCTCAACCTAGCCACAAATCAATGCAGATATAATATGGAATGATAGAGGGGAAGTTTGGGAGGATTTTAAGATAATTAGATGTCATGGTCTATGTCATGATCTCCATGGTTACCCTGTCTGCATGCTATAAAGAACAGCGTACATTTTATATCCATACTATATGGGTCACTCCACAGTATTTTTCCTTCTACATCATGTACCTTATGTAAACAGTTTCTATCTCTTCTTATCTCATAAAATTGGAATGAAATATACTATTTCCCTGAACTTAAAGGTGGGAAATACAGCAAACAAAAGTTATGGGCAGGTGGGTGAGGGGAAGGGGGGGAGGGGGAGGAGAAAAAATACTGTGGAATGATTCATACGATGTTGAGACTAGATTTAAACATAACTCTTTTGGGAATTAGACCCCTGGGGTTTTAAATGTTCATTTTTTATCATAACACTAAACACAGTCAATTCCACCATGCACCACCTTATAACATAAACAACAAATACTCAGTCTTCATTATTTAAGTTTCAACACACTGTCAGATGGATTTTACAATGACAAAAAACACCAAGCCACCATCAAAGCAGGCAACTTTCCCTTGCAGAGTCATATCAATAAATTTTTATGGATCAAAAACAGTTTTGGTAATGTTGTAATTGTAATTTATTTGGAATTAAGTTAATTCTTAAAATCCTTTAAATATAATGTTTTTTTTTCTTGTAAAACACAAGTCTTGTAATACAATCTGCATGCAGCCAAGAGTCCATCATATGCATTTCAATTTTCTGTTTTACACCATACATCTCCCAATCATTTCCAACACAGCAAACTGAACTTAATACATTCAACTAACACTTCTACACTACAAAAAACATAAGTTAACCACTAAAATATGCTTTTAAACATTGAAATATCAACCAAATACATTGAATGACCACTTATGAGCAGCAAATGGCTACCTGTGCACAATGAGGCAGTAGCACTTTTACAACTGGAACTAGCTTTCTAAAAATTTTACTCAAGAAGCATCAAAACTGTCTAACATGGAACACTACATGATAAGGAGATATTAGTAGATGAATCAAAGGAGGGATATTGTGTTAGATGTGACAATTGTTTTGGGTGTGACAATAGCATTGGGTGTGACATCCATTGCGTAGAATTTATACCTGGGTCATCGTCACATTCTATCCCACTCTCTGGAAAAGACAATACACAAGTGGCACAGAGTTAGTACATGGTGACACAGTGGCAAAGTGACACGTGACAGACACAACATGCTGGGGAAGCCAAGTATTAATGCTACTATCCTTATTTACACTTATGAACAGTGACTAATCATAATATAATCACTGTATCAAAGCTTAAGAAAAAGGTTTCAGTATTTGTTTCTATTACTACCAAAAGCATATAGTTGTAAGCAACATTTGCTACTACTTAGCTTATCAGACTTCTCAAAGTAGGAATTATAGATGAATTCAGTGTAAATAAAATATGTAATAAAAATATCTCAAAACAAATTAGTGCATTTTTTGTCCATTTGATATCACATCAAAGTACAATTTCCACATTTTTATTGTAAAAAAAATGTTGAAATCTCTGTACATTTCTTATGTGTTGTGAAGCAAAATAAGCAGACAAAAATGGAAAACTTTCTTTTTTCCATCTTTGCTGAGAACATGTGCAGTAGTAAAGTTAGAATTGCTATCAGTAAAAGTAAACTACATTTTACAACTAGATTCAGGCAGTCTCATTTAAACAGGTTTGTGACAAAATTCATAACTATCTAAATAAACAACTACTGCTGAAATTTTGTCAGTAACACCAGCTTCAGTTGTTTTAAATTAGCTATTAGCATTGTTATACTACATAAAAGGTCTGAAACACTACAATGTTAGTAACTGTTTATTCTACACACAACTTTACTGCCCCGTGTACATAATGATTTTCCACTGACAGCTTTAATCAGATTAATCAAAATCCACTCTTCTCAGTTATCTTCAAACTGGCAATTACTCAACATTATCAAACAACATGAGTAAATACCCCTTCCCCCCAAAAGATGTTAGTATTTTTTTTATTAAAAAAAGTTTTGAAAAGAAATTTGGTTTTATACAAAAAAGTGATAATTTTTTTGTGATTTAAAAAAAGTCAAAAGTATACTTTTGCGTCTTGAAAAAATTCAAGAAAAAAGTGAAGTGTTTGAAAATATTAAGTAAATACCGTATTACCCACCACAGCCATTAACTGATGAAAAGATACCCATATTAACCCCTATTGTAGTTGTCAATCACAGTTAAAGTCCAGTTACCTACCATGTTTGCCTGCAGCCGTAGCATGGACAACCAAAGCATCCACCGATCCTCCGCGGATTTCAGGACCAGATTCACCCTGTGATCAATAACAACATGCTGTAAGTTCCATCTGGATTATTTTTCTATTTTTGTAATTCATTTAAGTATAATTTACTTAGTTATTATTTATCCAAAAAATTATGTATTTCCCCCAACGTTTCATAACTATATTTTATTTTCTCTAGTATTAACTGGTAAAAAAATCTCATAATAATATTAATGGAAAAATGCTTACAGACATACATGTATTACTATTTCTGAAATCATAATGAAAATGCATTTTCATAATCTTCTGAAGTGTTTAATAATATGATAATAAACTATATGTAGCAGATGGGGGTTGGGGTGGGAGGGTGGACAGAGGGGGTGGTGGGGTGGTACAACTGTGACATATTGTAATTGCAATATGAAAGAAAGCAGCCCAGGTGTGGGTGACTGAAGATACAGACTTTCATTTTAAATAAACAATGTTGTATTTTAGTAGTAGTACTCCACCTTTTTCTTCCTAACCAGCTGGTCGGAGACATCCACATCATCAAGAGGATTTAGTTCCGCAAAGTCTGAGTCTGTGTCCTTCTCTGGTGTGGATGACTCAGGCTCTTTGGTTTTTGGTGGGAGTAAAAATTTAGCTGGCTCTGACTCACTGGAAGAATTGTATATACATACACTAAGTCTACATGACCAGAAATCAATAAATGTGAGTAAAATTGGTATTTTTATCTGATCCCATTTATGTATTTTTCTTTATTGCATTTTGTTATATTAATTTTATTTTTTCACTCTTTCAGTATTTAATTTAACACTGATAATGTATTTGAAATTAACAGGCTCAATCTTTTATACTAAGCAAGACAAAAACAATAATTTTCAAGTAACCTTTAATTTCTTCTTAATAGTCCACATTTTTCTTATTTTAATTCACTTACACAACTGTGCTTGGAGGGCCTAAACTATCAGAACGAATACTATCAGATCTTAGACTATCAGACCTCAGACTGTCAGATCTAAGGCTTTCAGTTCCCAAACTCGTAGTGTCATCGAAGGACCCTGTTGTGCTGACAGAGTCCATGAAAGAGGAAGTGTCAGATGTCCCCGAGTCAGTGGTGAAGGTGGTGTTATTTCTACCAGACTTTTGTCTCTGAAAATTAAAGGAGATAATTAAACTTTTAGGTGGGATAAAATGAAGTTCAGTTTTTTACCAGAGGAAATCATTCCAATGAAATTATGGTAACTCCTGACAAATTAAATAAAGAAATTAACAAAAACTGATAATAAGTTTATAAGAATAAAGAAAAACATGGACAATAACAACAACAACAACAACAACAACAACAAAAATATGAAAAAAAAATGTGAAATTGTTGAAATTTTCAATTTGTATTCCTCTAACCTTTCTTACCAAGGTTCGTAGTTTGGGTGGAAGGGCTGGTACATGGAGACTGAGCAGGTCGTCGACCGAGGCTCCACTGCCAATTGAGAAAAGATCAGACTCTGGCCGCGTCAGGTCAGATATCAGGCTCATGGTATGAGAGCGAGGGTGAAACAGCTCCATCTGGTGTTGATACCACTGACTCTGGTAGTAGTTCTCGGAGTGTACAGAGTGCCGTGTGAAGTCATGGTGGGATGTAGGGTGGGAATAGTTGCCAAACATCTGCATGTACGCCTCAACTGCAAGGTTCATTGGGGTATTGAGTAAAGATTTGCAATAATTTTACTTATTATTTACAAAATATACTTATAATTTGGCATTTTAAATGCTGACGACTTTTATCAATGACATCTAATGTGGATCAAGTCATATCAACTGATGTCTTTTCGGCAATCTTTTTTTTTCTTTTTGTATATATTATCAATACATACCTTACGATATGGATACAGACAGAATATGTAGCTTAAGAGCATAAATATAATTTGAACATATACAATGAAGTCAACTGGTTACCACACCATCTCAATGAAGTTACTATCTGCAAGAAAACTTAGCACTCACCATGTCTTTTCTTTGGCGGGAGTGGTGGGGGTTTCTGTAAACTTTGAGAACTCTCTGTGCTGGAAAGGGTTCCTATGGAAGATGTCTCTGTACTAGAGAAGGACCCTTGTGATGTGGTGAATTGAGCAGATTTGGAGTACATTGCCTTTTGCTGGAAACTAGTGTAAGAAGCAGTGCTCTGGGATGTCTTCATTTGAGCCACCCCTGTAGCAGACGATACTGTAGTAACTGTAGATGTCACTACTGGAACCAAGACAGTCCCTGGATCTACATTGTCATAATCTGATGGATATCTCGTCCTGGTTGCTGAAGCATTGTTTCTCTTTTCTGGAAGAGGAGGGGGTTGTTCGATCCCAGTAGTTAGAGACTGAATTTTTTTCGTTAATTCATTTATATCGTCAATACCTCCTCCTCCTGAAGTTGTACTAGTAGAGCTTGACCAAGATGCTGTGTGATGAATGAAATGTGCCTGTGTAAATCCTTCCATTAGATTCTCCTCAGATTTACTACTGTCTAACAAATCCTCTCGCGACTGATTCAAACCAGATCCTACGCTACTTGCTGGTGAAGTACTGAGCGGGGACAAAAATGGAGGACTCAGGTTTAAAGAGTCAAGAGTAGTTGTGCTTGTTGTGCCCCCAAAAATACTGCTCTGTGGAGAACGGTGTGAGATAGGCGTGGATGAAGATCCCCCTTGTGACGGGTTATACTCCATTACATTTGAATTTGAGCGCTTCTTTCTTGGGAGAGGAGGTGGGGTCTCTCCTTCTGTTTCAGGGGAGTCCATGCTGTGTGCTGAACTACAAATGAAAACATAATGATAGATAATAAGTAAATAAATATACACATATAAACAATTTCAATAAATCAAATGATATTCAATGTTAATTGACAATAGCTGAAGAAAAATAATCATAAACCTTCCATTGAGGTCTTTACGCACAGTTTTATGAGACTCCATCATAAAATGAAGCAATTTCACATTTTGTACGTTCTGTTCAAAAGCTGATAACATTTGCCTAAAAATGTTTATCCTGTGGTCAAATTACCATGGACTTATTTTGTGTCTATAAATAAAAAAATATATGAAACTGAGTCTGCAATATCTAAATTTCAGCAGGCCATCGAGATTGCAATACCTCCCAAACATTCCACCATGTCTGTGATCTAATAATGATCAGTAACCTCATATTTCCTACCTTCTATTCATCAGTGGAGAAACTCTGTTTTCAGGAAGCGGTGGTTTTGGAGGTGGTGCTCCTGGAAGAAGTGTGTTGTTGTTTCCATAGATGTCTGAGTCTTTAAAACCAAAGTTGTTATCGTAATCTCCCATGTTAGTCTGTTCTAGAATTTCTCTTTCCCTTGGAGTGAGTGGGATGTCTGGGAGAGAAGTTCTACCTGGGCTGTGAAAGAGAAAAATGTGCCACTTGAAAGAATATTTATAAATAAGAATAATTTTTTTTGGTATGAAAGCATTGTCTCCAGAAGAAATTATAGCAAGAGAGTAAAACTAATAGTTTTTCAGTAACAACTTAAAAAAAGTTACTACTTACAAGAACATTATGCTTGAGTTCAAGAGATTTCAAATAGCATTTCTTGAAATAATAACTTTACATTCCCCCAAAATATTGAAATAAATGTCAACAAATATCCCAAAAACTAAATATGTACCTTTCAGGGTTACTAGTAGAAGAACCTCTGGATCCTGCAGACTTTGGAAGAGATAGGTAAGACTTGTTTTGGAGCTTGTCAGATGAAATCTGAACCCATTCCTGAAAAAGAAAAAAAAACTAGAGGATCAGAGAGGCGATACCGCCTCCGGATATTGTACCACCAGCTGGAGTAAGCGCATTCGGATGGGTAGTGATTTTCTAGACAATAGGCCTATTGGTTTTCCTTGAAATGTGTTATCAGTGTTGCATATATGCTGACAAAAGAGGAAACCTATGGGCAACACTGGGCATATCTCTGCTAGTTTTGAAGATATGAGGGGCAAGAAAATATTCAAAGTTCAGTTCATGGTGAACAGTAGGTCAAAGGTCAATTTCAAGGTCACAGTTTATGACTGCCTATTCAAGTTCAAAAGTAACTATGGGCATTTCTTTGCCAAGTTTGGAGATATATAGGCCAGAAAACATGCAAAGTACAGTTCATCATAAAAAGTAGGTCAAAGGCCAATTTCAGGATCACAGTTAGATAGCCAGTATATGACTTCCTATTGAAGTTCAATAGTAACTAATGGCGTATCTTTGCCAGTTTAAGAGATATAAGGGCTGGAAATTTTAGTTCATGGTGAAAAGTAGGCCAGAGGCCAATTTCAAGGTCACAGTTAAATTACAAGTATATGTCTTCCCATTCAAGTTCAATAGTAACTATGGGCGTATCTCTGCTAAATTTGAAGTATTTCACATTTTATTTTCACCACTAAATATTGGATGTTGAACTTTTATATATAGTGCAATGCCTAAGCTGTATCGAAAACAAAACACGGACACCACCTCCAGTGTTGCGCTTGACAAGCTCTACAAAATGCAAAAAACAAGAGGTCTCTATCATTAACAGTTCCAGAATTGGAGAGAGTTTTCAGTGTCGGCATCTAATGGCCGCTACTCCCGTGAAAATGCACCAATTGACCCCAAACTCACGAAGATGACAGAAGACCCTCAGGGTAACACCTGTCCATAATATCATAAGTTAGATCTGTGAAATTTCTGAAAATCGGCATAAAATATCAAATTTTTTGCAAAAAATTCCCATTTTTAGAAAATTTTGGCCCGTTTGACCTTGAAATTAAGGTCAAAGGTCAAATCCAAGGGCATATTTGAAATCTCCACATATGACTTTCGGTCAGCCATCTGTAGAAAATTTTCCCATAATTCCTTCGGTATGGGAGATATTTAGCATTGAATTTCCAAAAATTTTGACAAGGGTGCCTTTCGACGAGTGTCATGCCAAGGGCAATGCACCGACTGAGACAAAAATACCCAGGGGTTCAAGTTGAGATTATATGTGACTTAAATCCAAGAGATGGGCACACAGGCCCATGCAGTCTAGGAAAAGAAGCGGTAACGGTGACTTGTATCCCACGACACCCTGCGGAGCCAACGGAGCTTACGGAGCCGGCGGAGCCGTACGAGACGGGTCGGGACTAAAACCATGAGTACCGCCAGCGTAGACGCTGGTGGTACTAATAAAACATCTGTAACTGCAATTTTCAGTAAACAAAATGCAACAATATTTTCTGGTTCACTAAGCAACTTAACAAAGAAACTTTGGAACTTAATACAGAAAACAATGCCAAATGATCCTTAGTTGCAATTACCATTAATCCTTGAAATACTTGCTCATTGATCTCTGCTGATTACAAAAATACCCCACCCCCAAACCAATTAAATACTCCAAAAATATGAAAACAAAACAGTGACTTTCTAAATTGAGTACATTTTTGAAAAGGGCACAATTAGCAAAGACAAATAAACCACCTACATGGATGACTCTGATCAACATTTTAATATAAAAATAAATAAATAAATAAAATATATAAATAAATAAACAAATTAATTAATTAATTAATTAATTACAAGTCTACCTTCAGTGCATCACTGACAGCTTTGATGATTTCAGCAGCGCCATCTTTATTCAGCGGCTGTTCCTCATTGAGGATGAAGGTGTCTGCCCACTTGACCAGTTGTGCCAGCTTCTGGTATACTTTGTTCTGACTGGACAAAAGGACAGAGCTAGAAGAAAAACAAAATTATCTTAGTGAAACATAATAAACAAACAAATGCAAATAAAAACAATTCTAACACAAGAGGACAAGCTGATGCACAACACTTTCAGACAGTAACTTAAAACATCAGAAAATATCTTTACAAGTCATACCCTTCAGAATACCAAACCCAAACTAATAGTATGCAACTCTCGACTGAATTTAAAGCCTTAAATGTTATGTATAAATGGTGCTACAGAATACTTAAATTACTTAAAACTAGTTTATTTAGGATGCCTCGCCAAACAAATGGACATAAATCTGTGAGCTGTACACAGCTGTAATACTGAGTCACATTGGCAAGGGAAACCTGTTGTTAAGATTTTCCCTGTGCCAAATTGTAAAATGATTCCAAATGTTATTAAGTGATTTTCAATCCAATTACATTTATTTAGCCAGATATATACCCCCTGTCAGCCATACCTGTTATGAAACACAATATATTCAACATTATTTTATTATTGAGTTTAGGGTACAATGTCCAAGTCATTGCATGGGTAAAAACTGAGAAATAAAAATTTGATTTCATTTGAAAGGAAAACCTTCAGGTCATGAATTCTAGAGGTGATAGCAAAAAAAAAAAAAAAAAAAAAAAAAACTATTAAATATGGAAAAAGGTTATAAATGACTGGTGTTTCCTTAATTATACTTAAGCATGGTAACATTACAAATCAGCTCATACAGTGACACTGATAAACAGCAGTGTGGAATTGAGTCATGGCAATTATCTGGCTCTAGTTATATTGTAAAATATCCAAAATATGATAGTCCTAGGAATAGAAGTCCAGATACCATATATAATAGGTATTGGGGTCAGCATATGGGACGACTGTCACCTGTACAAAATAAAGGAAAATGGGCAATGGTTTAAACTTCCTATTGTTCCTGTCACACAAGAAAAGTCTTAGGAGCACTTGAAACCAAAACCTCACATTCGTACACAAATAATTCAAACAAGGCTTACTGAATCACAGACCATTGTATTTTATCAGCAGGCATCACAGAGCAATGAATTTTATCAGCACATCATTTTGTGTTATCTCAAAATGGCACTGTCCCCAGACACCTTCAGAGAAATGCCGCATTCAAATTCCAGAGTGTAAACATCTCTGAATTTGCTGTTATTTGAGGAAACCATTATTGTAACTTTCAGTGCATAAAACAGCTGATGAAAACCACTTGCTGGATGGACTGTAAGAACAATTTACCTGTCTTGGTTTATAAAGTAGGTTCCAAGGAGAGAACTGAGATCCATCACGGCCTCCAACACCACTGTCACTGCCTCAGGAATCTGCTGAATCATCACCCCCTTGACCACTGCCTTCTCCAGGTACCCCAGGTACTGGAACACCTTCTTTGACTCCTGCTTGAGCTTTTCTACATTCTGATAGAAAAATACAAACACATTAAATGTTATGATTAATAAGGATTTTTTTCCAGGTACTGAAAACAGATTCAAACACAATAAATATTAAAGATAAATATGGATTTTTTTCTAAAAACATTAGGTACTGGAACATCCTCTTTGACTCCTGCTTTAACTTTTCTACATTATAAAGGTAAAATTCAAAACAAAATAAAGAGGAATACACATGCTCTAGAAAGTCTGGAGCATCCTTTTTCACTGCCATTTGAGCTCCTTTAAGTTCTGAAAGAAATCAAAGCCAAAAAGGTTTAAAAATTACTATACTATGTGCTCAGTTTACCTGTGCTTATAAATACCCTTATAACAAAGCAGCTATTGTTCAGAATACAATTTTGTTTGGGTTTGGGTTTCGCACAGGATAAGAGACAATCAGAATTCAATGCTATATCATCTTCAAGTTGTACACAATGACAAAAAGAGATTGGAGTTACCTAAAAGAGACACAACTTGCATTCACTTACATATTCCTCCTCCAACATCCAGCATTCAACATATTCGTCTCTGTACAACCTGACATACCAGGTTGGGGTAAAAGAGATTTCAGAAATACCAATGTCCGAGTCAGAATCAGAATCTGATTCAGGCTCTAGAATACCCATCATACTTCCAAATCCTAGCTTTGCCCAGTACTCTGTGCTTTTTATGAAATCCATTCTTGTAATACAATGATTCTTGAATGATTCCTTATATCTGATTCTCTGAATCCCTAAATCTATTCAAAATGAAGACTGCCTCTTGTATCCCACAATTTAAAGTATGCCCATGTGTTGGTTTTGAATCCTTTAAATCTCAGTTATTTCCCAAAAGGGTACCAAAGCACTTTCAAACTGTTTAAAGTGTTCCTTGTGATAGGATTTGTATTATCTGGAACTTAATTTCTCACTGTCTTAGTCATCCTCTTTTGCACAGTCATGTGATGGGTTGTGTGACAGTTTCGTTAAAAATCAAATGGAGAATCTCTGCATGGCCAATGAACTGACATTCCACCAAGCTGGAATATGTCTTCCTGCAGCTGGCTTGTGGTCAATGCTTCACTGATGCAGCAAGAAATTTGATCAGGTACATATACAGCCTTTGTGATTATATTTCAAAACGCAAAATTGAAATTCAATTAAAGATCCATAATACACAGATTTCTGTGAGAAATACAGTCCTATGCTGTCAGCTGCTTGCATTTTAAGACCCCATTTACCAGCTGAGCTACCTATCAAAAGTGTCTTCCTTTTTCAAAAATGAAGGTTCGAATTAGATATTACATGCTTCGTTCAATCAGCTAGATGATATCAGCCAAAATATACAAAGCTGTAGACAAATGTATATAAAATATAGCGATAATTCTTCCCACAATCCCAGCATTCAGAATCCGATGATGTGACCATAAATGACATCTCAGCTCAAAAGATTTCAGAAGTCTTTACTTTGGAAAGAAGTTCTTATTTGGGTCAATGGATCCTTTCAAAGTCATTCTAAAAGTGCCCTGTTGTTGTTTGATGGCGTAAATGGAATGCCAAAACAAGTTATCATTTTCATCACTCCATAAAGGACAGTTTTTGAAAAAAAAGTCACTTGGCAATCCTATATGCTAAGCAAGTCTAAGGCTGTATTCCCAGACCTTTTAGATCGATCTATCCCCACGGGGAGTCTCACTAGATTACTGACAGATAATCCGGCTTAAATGTCCGTCCTGCCTACTACAAGCTGTAAGGGGGTAATTAACTTTCGTGTCCGCTCGGCTGACAGCTATTTAGCTTGAACCCTCAGGGAGTTAGGTCGATCTAAAGTAGATCGATCTAATCTCTGGAAATGGGGTCTATGTATCACTTCTTGTTTTTTAGCAGCTGAGTATAAGTATGAATGTAATTTCCATTTTCAAATTTTGTCCATAAAAATGTTTTCTCAATGCGTAACCTCTACAGTATCCACTAAAACTGAGAGACTCAGAGACTGGTCTGGTAAAAATTGCTGAGATGAAATTGGTGTAGATGAAAACAACCCAGATACTGACACTGCAACTGGACTTCAGTCTCTTAAATTATATACTGCCAGATTTAACTTTCACTCCTGTATATAAAGGTTTATCTCTATCTGGTATTATCTCTCATGGATAATCTCTGGAAATCCTCTAAATCTGTTGTGCCTCTCTGATGCTATCTGGATCATATGAGTTGTGGTAATCAAAGGCACACAGTATATATATATATATGTACCTATATATATATACAATGTAAGCTCACCCTGCCTACAACTCCTAAGTGTGTGCTATATTTTCATATTCTATGTCACACTTATACCATGTTAAATTAAAAGATTTTCATAAATATTGATTTACTATGTTTTTTATTGCAATTTGCAACCTCTTCAATTAAAATGCTTTTAGTCAGTAAAGATTCAAAGTAATTTACTCCTTCTAAATAACATTTCCAATCTCAGAAAATAAAAGATTTATCTATTGGTTGTGCAAAAGGCTTTAATTCATTAAAGATTGGCTTTTATGTGCTAATAAAGTCAAATTCACATCCATCCAGGCACATAATTTTTTTAAAAATTAATTTCATGGCTTTCAGGTCAAATTTTTTTTGGGTATACCCCTCAAATTCTAGTACAGTAGGCAAACAGAACAGAATAGAAAACAATGGCCAATAAACTCTTAATCAGACCATTGATAACACAGTTTCAGTAAATAAATACAATTATATCCTTTCTCAATTTATCCAATCAGGAAGACTCACCTGAATCACCCAATTATATGTAGTATTACATATTTCAGACAAGTTATAAATATGATCAATGTACCCATTCCTTACAATACCTGTATCATTCACAGATCTATCATAACCACACCAGGGATATCTAAGCTCCAAGGACAATATATAGGTCTGGCTGCCAACTCATTTCCATTGTTACTACTAATATTTTCCTCATTATCAGTGATGTATAATCTATAAATTTAATTGAGGAAAATAATTAATCAATTTCAAATACAGATTTCTCTTAAAAGCTGATTTATAATAAAAAAAAATAGTAACACTATCAATTTAAAAGTAAATCCTCTATACTATATTTACCCAAAAACAAAGGTGCACAAAAACAAACCTTTAAAAACATTTTCTGCTCTTTCAATCCTATCAAATTTTCAACAAAACTGTTATTCTTCAATTCTGTTAGAACTAGACCTAATCTTTGTAGTTGACAATATATCACTTTTCTTCCAATCTCGATCAGTTTGCATTTTGATGTGACCCCCTCCCAGTCAGACAAAGATGTCAGTTAAAGGATAACCACAAAACCACATTTTACTCCTCTACTCCCATCTAGGTCAAAATGTGACTCAATCCCTTACACCTCCAAATACCAACTAAGTAGGATGTAAAAGGACATGAAATTGCACTACATACTATTACCGCATTAAAACTTTTGAAATTCAAAACATTTCCAATTTTCCTTTCTCAAATATTTGCTTCCTGAGCAACGGTTGGTGGGAGTTTTAATGTCTGTTTAAGTAAACATTTGTGTCTCCATGCTTCACCACCCACATTATCAGTCGCATTTTACCACGTATATCATCATGTAATTGACCCCTCTCCCACCCAGGTTCTCAGCAATTTGAC